TCTTTCTCTTACGAAAGTCGCAGAGCGAGTTTTTGGTCTCAGGATGAGCTATAGAAACTGTAATTGCCAGCTGACGAAAAAAGGGGAATGAAACTATTTTGCTCTGTGAATCCTTGTAGTACTTCTGCTGTGCAGCCAGAAGAATTGAACCAGAAATTAAAAACTCTATAACAAGAACTTATTGGCCGAAGACCATTACATCATGGTTTAGTACTGCTAGATTCGAAGTCAGAACAACCATATTGATATCAACCTCCAGTATGAAAGGGACCACCATGAGAACAGTAGTTCTCAACTTTTGGGCCTTCTCGGATTTTGGAACGTTGACTCCCAGGAGATCCCTCACTGTGGGGTTATGCTAGCTGGAGTATCTGGAGGGCCAACAGATGGAGAACTATCACTCAAGACCATATCCTCGGAGCGTTTCAAACCTTCAGCTGATTCTGAGTATATTACTCCAGTAATTCTTTCAACAGCCCTGCAAAGCAAGTTAGAATCATCATTCTTGCATTACAGACGGGGAGGGAGGTAGAATAGTGAATAAGGAAGAGAAGCTGCAGTAGGATAGACAAGCTCCTTAGTATTTATCTAAAACAAATAGACTGAGTGTCGAATATTGTTTTAAAAATGCAGCGTGTTACGCGAAAACATTTGGCGCCTGATACAGAGCAGTAAATGGTCCCTGCACTCGCTCATCAAGGGGCTGAGATCCCAAAGGTAAAGGTCCCCCTTGACATTTAGTCCAGTCATGTCCGACTCTAGGGGGCGGTGCTCATCCCCATTTCCAAGCCGTAGAGCCAGCGTTTTGTCCGTAGACAGTTTCCGTGGTCACGTGGCCAGCATGACCAGACACGGAACACCGTTACCTTCCCACCATGGTGGTACCTATTTATCTACTTGCATTTGCATGTTTTAAAACTGTTAGGACAAGTGACGGGAGTTCACTCTATTGTGTGGATTCGATCTTACAACTGATGGTCCTCTGACCTTGCAGCACAGAGGCTTCTGTGGTTTAACCCGCAGCGCCACCATATCCCTAACTAAGATATTTTGGCATATAAGTCCAAAGAAAGGAAAGAAAGGAAAGAAAGGAAAGAAAGAAAGAAAGAAAGAAAGAAAGAAAGAAAGAAAGAAAGAAACCCACCCCACACAAAACAGCCAACATCTCCTGCATCCTTGGCTGTAAATCAACAAATAAAATAATGTGATGAATTGACATGTCACTTAAAACCTTCCGATGGAGGCAGCTGCCTCACTCTGTTTAATAGCACAGTTGGCCCAGTCCTGATATCATGAAAACTGTCATGCTGTGTAACTATACCTTTTGAATTGGATGATTTAAAAATATATACTGTATACATATCATTTGTTCATAGGCAACTTTGATAGCTTTATATTAAATTATGTTTGCACTGGTAGCAGTTTACTAATTTTTTTTCCAGAGTGCAGTGAGAATATTCAGCTGACATTTTCAGCTATAGTTGTACTTCTCTGAAAAATCAAGGTCGTGTCCTCAATCACTTTCTTGCAAGGCGGAGATATTCCAGCATTAGGAACAACATGATTACTAATGTTCTCTGCGCTCTTTCCTGGTTTTTGAATGTGCATGAATTTTGACAACGCCTTCCTCTTTTCTCTGGCATTTAGACGGGGAAAGATGTAAAAACAGGGTGGGTAAAATTATCCCACTGACAGGACATTTTTCCATGTATGTCAATGTTAGACATTTCTCTTTGTCAAGGAAACTAAAGGCAGAGAAACAGACAAGATAGTAGCTTTACAATTAGAAGCAGAATTGCCTTGAGACCTAAAAGACCTCTATCTATCACCCAATATTGTTTCACAGCTTTGGGAGTTGGAAATGAGCTTGCTTTTGTTCTGTGATGAGTCATCAGGAGGCGAGGCAGGAGCGAAGAACGCATCTCTGGAGTGATAAGGTTGCTTTTTCTTATAATTGCGGGACTGCTCTTTAATTTCTTTCTACCCCAGTTTTGTGAAGGGAGGAGGCCACTGGAACTTTATGCGGAGGCAGAAATTCAAGAACATGAATAAGTCACAGATGATGATTTAGGAACAGCAGGTGAAGGCAATCTTAACTAGACCAGGCAAAACGAGTTATTATTGTACGATTTTGGCACCGGGCATAGGTGTGGGTGGGTAGATAGAAAAGATGATCTTTTTCCCACTAAGTGCTGTTTTCTTTTTATGAGAGAATCTTTCATCCCGAATACAAGTTTGAAGGCAGTCTGAGGAATCCCCTGCTCTCCTTTGTTCTTGTCAAAGATTTTATAAGACTGTCAAGTGTCAAGATATTAATTTGAAAGTGCAAAAGGCTCCCTCTGATATTTCAGTTCTTCTTAATTGAGTTTCATGCTCACCATATAAATTCCATTTGCACCATTTGAGTGTTTCTGCCCCCCCCCCATTAGAGCATCAGGTATAGTTCAGCTGACGGCTTCATTTTGCAGTCCTAAAAAAAGGCATGGCCGTGGCCTCATTCTGTCACGGGAGAGAGAATGCCGTTGTTCAGGGCCGGCCCTGCCGTTCACTGCAGTGAGGTGGCTGCTGCTTCAGGCAGCAGATTTTGGGTGTCGAGAAAGGGCAGGAAATGATTAGTTAATTAATGCAATTGTGTTACCAAACCATGATTGCAATTTCTTTTCCCAACTGCCAGGAGAGGTGCTTGTGAAATTGGGCTGCTGAAGATGCCAAAATAATTCAACCCTTATGCGCATTGACCGTGGGAATATGTGTGTTTGTGGGGGGGGGCGGGGTGGGGTTCATTTACCTCACACAGCAAAGTTCCTTGAGTTGTTCTTTCCAGAACTTGATCAGATCAGTTGACAGAAGTCAGGAGTGTATACAACTCCATCAGGGGTGTATTAGTAAATCTGGTTGAAACAGAGTTTCATTGTGACTGCCCTGATAGCCCCATAGCTCCATAAGCTGAGTCCCAAGATGCAAGCTGCTAGACCAGTGCATATCAAGAGTTAATGAGCAGGTCTTTTGTAAAGCTAAGGGCTCTACATTGCCAATTTGAGACCAAACCACCTTCAAAGACATTGCTTTATAGCAGTGTGTGAGCTTGCAACATGATACATACCCTCTCCTAGCCCAGCTTAAAGCTAACAAGGAAGCCTGAGAAGGTGGCTGCTCTCTGCTGTTCTCCCCGGTAGAGGTCATGCTTTGCTTTCATGTCCTCAGTTCCGTACCTGGTGTCTTTCGGCTGAGTTGAGTTGCTTATCTGAAAATGTGGTGGACTGTGTCTAGTCTTTATGGGCTGAGCTAGCGTCTGATCCAACACTTGCAGCTTGGAAAAGTTACTTTCTGCCCTACCGCTTGGAAACGGCGGTGTTGGCTGACGGATCTCTGGGAGAAATAGACCTCAAAAGCAAATTTCCCAAACTTGGTCTTGTACATTCGGCCAGACTGTGATTCTCAGGCAGAATGCTTCTCCGACTCAAGAAGGATCTGGAGGGGAGATGATAGGGACTGAGCAGAGGTTTCAGCCTTGAGCTGTGGGTCTCCCAGTGGGTACCAAGGTAGGAATGAACATCGGCCACTTCACGCATGCTGGCCTACCAAGGCTTCCTTACCATCTTAAATTATGCAGAACAATTGGAGAGCTATCCCACCAGTGCCCTGCCTGGCCAAAATGTCCATGCTATAATAAGGGACGAATCAAATGAATCTCTTGTCAGTTTCAATGGGACTCCCTTTCAAGCATTTCTAGGACTGCAGCCTTTCCATGAACTCCTTCTCCCCCCAGATGATAGGGAACAACAGGCAGTCCTAGGTTCCCAGTCAATGACCTCCATGACCCATAAGAAACAGGTGGTGTGCTCTTACGTGCTGTCAAGACGCTCCTGACTTATGGTTGACATCTCTGAATTAAGTTACCTCCAAAGCTAACTGTTTATGGTTGACATCTCTGAATTAAGTTACCGCCAAAGCTAACCGTCTGCAGAGCCTGAGGCTGGGAGTTCAATTCCCCACTGGCCCTCTCGGGAGAAGAGCCAGCCTGGGTAGCCTTGGGCAAGCTGCACAGTCCCAGGGATTCCCCAGAAGAAGGGCATGAATGGTCAATTCTAGACCTAGAAAACTCAGGGGGGAGGGGTCTCCATCAGCTGGAATTGACTATACCACACACTGAAAGGTGGGAGAGGGCTGTCATGAATTTGCAGACTCAGGAGCGTGGGTTTCGTTGATGGAGTCAATCCATCTCACGCCAGATTTTCCTCTTTTCCTGCTGCCTTCAGCTTTCCTACCTTACTGTCTTCACATGATAGGGCTCTGTGCTATATTGCGTTATTACTTGTTTCCTTTTATATCCTGTTTTCCTCCAGCAAGCCCTGGCTCTCCTCTTTATCCTCACAACGACCTTGTCAGGCAGGTTACCTTCGGTGTATGGCTCTCCCAAGGTCACTCCGTGAGGGTTTTGAACGCGGCGTCC